TCTCTCTCTCTCCTCGGTCTCTCTCTCTCTTCTTTTCTTTTCTTTTTTTTGAGACAGAGTCTCAAGCTCTATCGCCCAGGCTGATACAGTGGCTGGGATCTCAGCTCACTACAAGCTCCGCCTCCCGGGTTACGCCATTCTCCTGCCTCAGTCTCCTGAGTAGCTGGGACTACAGGCGCCCACCACCCCTTGCCCAGCTAGTTTTTGTATTTTTTTAGTAGAGACGGGGTTTCACCGTGTTAGCCAGGGATGGTCTCGATCTCCTGACCTCGTGATCCGCCGTCTCGGCCTCCCAAAGTGCTGGGATTACAGGCTTGAGCCACCGCGCCCGGCCTCTCTCTCTCTCTTTTCTTTCTTTCAACCGAGTCTGGCTCTGTCGCCCAGGCTGGAGTGCAATAGCAAGATCTCGGCTCACTGCAACCTCTGCCCCCAGGGTTCACGCCATTCTCCTGCCTCAGCCTCCCGAGCTTGGCTGGGATGCAGGCATCGACCATCACCCGGCTAATTTTTGTATTTTTAGTAGAGACGGGGTTTCACCATGTTGGTCAGGCTGGTCTCAGACTCCCAACCTCGGTGATCCTCCCACCTCGGCCTCCCAGGGTCTGGGATTACAGGCGGGAGCCAGTGCCCAGCATTTCCTGTTTTCTCTCTTCCCTCCTGGCTCTAGGAGGTGAAGTTCAGGGCTGGAACCTGCTGACTTTCCTCTGTCACCCACGTGGCCCCAGGACATCCCACATCCTCAGAGAAGTCTGTTCCTCCCTTGTCAAATCTTCCCTCCTTTACTCCAGCCCCCTTTGCTGTTTCTGAAAAAAAGGAGATGTCTACTCTGCAGAAATACTCAAAAACCACCTGAAAGACGGGGCGATGGCTCACGCCTCCCAATCCCAGCATTTTGGGAGGCTGAGGCAAAAGCTGACTTGAGCCCAGTAGATTGCCCAGAGATCAGCCTGGGCAACACAGCAGACTGCATCTCTGAAAAAACACAGTTTTTTGCAATGTTTAAATTAGGCAGGCGCGGTGGTGCACATCAGCAGTCCCAGCTAGCTCACTTTCCACATGGGAGATGTTGCTGCAGGAAATCACACAAAAACCGGCCGGGCGCAGTGGCTCACGCCCGCCATCCTAGCCCTTTGGGAGGCTGAGGCGGGCGGATCACCTGAGATCAGGGGTTCAAGACCAGCCTGGCCGACATAGTGGAAACCCCGCCTCTACTAAAAATACAAAAAAATTAGCCGGTTACATGGTAGCAGGTGCCTTGTAGTCCCCACCTGCTCAGGAGGCTGAAATGGGGGAGAATGGCGTGAACCCAGGAGGCGGAGGTTGCAGTGAGCCGAGATCGCACCACGCCTCCCAGCCTGGGAGACAGGCAAAACTCTGTCTCCAAAAATAAAAATAAAAATAAAAAAATAAAAACCAGTCTTCGCAACATAGCAAGACTCCATCTCTACAAAACAAAAATAAAAATAAAAGATTAAATTAGCTTGGCGTGGTGGTGCATGTCTGTAGTCCCAGCTACTCGGGAGGCCGGAAAGGTGGAGTTCTCTTGATCCCAGAAAGTTGAGGCTGCAGCGAGCCGAGATCGCGCCACTGCACTCCAGACTGGGTGACAGAGCGAGACCCTGTCTCAAAAAAACAAACAAACAAACAAAAAAAGCAAAAAAAAAAAAAAAAAAAAAAAAAAAAAAAAGAGAGAGAGAAAGAAAACCACCTGAATGAGAACAGGCAAAGGCTTTTTATCCAAGGTGAAGAGTCTCAGAACACACTTCCCAAATTATGGAACCTTGGCAGTTTAAAATAAAACTGAAGGAATTTGAGAAAATTGCAGACACAGGAAGTTGTCTTTGTCTGTCTTCTCAGAACCAGGTCACAAAATATCTGGAATTATTTTCCTGAAGCGGACCACAACTTTGCCTCAGTCCGGAGGAGTCCCTCCCTGAAATGCAAATCAAAGCCACAACGGGAATGTCATTTCACACCAGTCACAAGGGGGCTATTACTGTTAAAAAGTCAAAAAACAACAGGCTACAGGTGTGGTGGCTCACGCCTGTAATCCCAGCACTTAGGGAGGCCGAGGCAGGTGGATCACATGAGGCCAGGAATTTGAGACCAGCCTGGTCAACATGACAAAACCCCATCTCTCCTAAAAATACAAAAATTAGCTGGGGGTGGTGGTGGGCGTCTGTAATCCCAGCTACTCGGGAGGCTGAGGCAGGAGAATCGCTTGAACCCGGGAGGATGTAGATTCGCAGTGAGCCAGATTGAGCCACTGCACTCCAGCCTGGCCAACAAAACAAGACTCTGAAAAGAAAGAAAAAGAGAGAAAGAAAGAAGAAAAAGAAAGAAAGGAAAGAAAGAAAGAAAGAAAGAAAGAAAGAAGAAAGAGAGAGAGAGAAAGAAGAGAAAGAAGAGAGAAAGAAAGAAAGAAGAAGAAGAAAGAAAAAGAGAAAGAGAGAGCAAAGAAGAGAAGAGAAGAAAGAAGAAGAAGAAAGAAAGAAAGAAAGAAGAAGAAAGGAGGGAGGAGGAAGCAAAGAGAGCGAAAGAAGGAAGGAAAGAAAGAAACAATGGAAGGAAGAAAGAGAGACAAGGAAGGAGGGAATGAAGGAAGGAAGGAGGGAGGGAGGGAAGGGAAAGAGAAGGAAGGAAGGAAGAAAAGAAGGAAGGAAGGAGGAAGGAAGGAAGGAAGGAAGGAAGGAGGGAAGGAAGGAAGGAAGGAAAGAAAGAGGAAGAGAGAGCAATGGAAGGGAAGAGAGAGGAAGGAGGAAGGAAGGAATGAAGGAAGGAAGGGAGGAAGAGGAAAGAAAACAATGGAAGGAAGAGAAAGAGGGCAAAGGAAGGAGGGAATGAAGGAAGGAGGGAGGAGGAAGGAAAGAAGGAAGGAAGGAAGAAAGAGAAGAAAGAGAAGGAAGGAGGAAGGAAGAAAGAAGGAAGGAAGGAGGGGAAGGAAAGAAAGGAAGGAAAGAAAGAAGGAAGAGGAAACAATGGAAGGAAGAGAGAGGGAAGGAGGGAAGGAAGGAATGAAGGAAGGAAGGGAGGAAAAAGAAGGGAAAAGAAAAGAAAACAATGGAAGGAAGAAGAGAGACAAGGAAGGAGGGGAGGCTGAAGGAAGGAGGGAGGGAGGGGAAGGAAGAAGGAAGGAAGGAAGAAAGAAGGAAGGAAGGAAGGAAGGAAGGAAAGAAGGAAGGAAGGAGGGGAAGAGGAAAGAGGAAGGAAGAAGAGGAAGGAAGAGAAGCAATGGAAGGAAGAGAGAGAGGGGAAGGAGGAAGGAAGGGAAGGAAAGAAGAAAAAGAAAGAAAGAAAGAGAAAAGAAATGAATCAGGAGGGAGAGAAGGATGGAAGGAAGGAGAGAAGGAAGGATGGAAGGAGAGGAGAGGTAGGAGGAAGAGAAGCAAGCAGAGAGGGAAGAAGGGAGGAGAAGGAAAAGAGGAAGGAAGCAAAACGAAGGAAGGAAGGAAGAAAAAGAAACACTTTGGCCCCAAGAGACCTGGGTCACTCCTCTTGGCCCCATCACTACTTGGATAGTCTTTGGGTTACCGTGAAGTCTCTGAGCCTCTGTTTTCTCATCTGTAGAATGGTGGATGGGCATTAACAGCAGAAAAGGAGGTGCGGACAAGAGGAAGTTCAGGCTTCTGCTGGGTAAACTTCAGTGCTGAGTCCCTCATAAACATTAGAGATGAAACGCCAAATGCCCAGGTATCCCGTGAGTCTCCCGGGCGTGGGGCATTAACGAGAAGTCGCAGAAGGTTCAGCCAGGTTCTGTACTTACCCGATTTCTCTGGGATCCAGGAGAACGCTGGCTGCAGCAGCTCCACGTGCAGGCTTGTCACCAGGAGGCGTGGTGCTGCCCGGAGGAAGGCAAGAGCTGCAGGGCGGAAGCGTCACACAGTGAGAAGGGTGGCTCTCCCAGGACATCCCTGGCAGGGGACAGGGTGATCTGGGAAACAAACACAGGATGGGGGTCAGCTGCTGACCTGGTCAAATAGGGGGTCGTGGCCAGCTGTGGAAGGGTCTGTAGCCCATTATTCTGTGTCCACATGTGGATAGGGCGTGGATATCTTTGGGGCCATTATTCTGTCTCACATGGGATTAGGACGTGGACATCTTTGCAGGGCCATTATTCTGTCTCCCACATGGGATTAGGACGTGGACATCTTTGGGGTCATTATTCTGTCTCCCACATGGGATTAGGATGTGGACATCTTTGGGGCCATTATTCTCTGTACCATATGGGGATTAGGACATGGACATCTTTGGGGCCATTGTGTATTGTCTCCCACATGGGATTAGGATATGGACATCTTTGGGGCCATTATTCTGTCTCCCACATGGGATTAGGATGTGGACATCTTTGGGAGCATTATTCTGTCTCCCATGGGATTAGGACGTGGACACATCTTTGGGAGCCATTATTCTGTCTCATGGGATTAGGATGTGAGACATCTTTGGGGTCATTATTTGTCTGCCACATGGGATTAGAACATGGACATCTTTGGGGCCATTATTCTGTCTACCCTATGGGATTAGGATGTGGACATCTTTGGGGCCATTATTCTGTCTCCCACATGGGATTAGGACGTGGACATCTGGCCAGGTGCGGTGGCTCAAGCCTGTAATCCCAGCACTTTGGGAGGCCGAGATGGGCGGATCACAAGGTCAGGAGATCGAGACCACCCTGGCTAACATGGTGAAACCCCGTCTCTACTAAAAATACAAAAAAATTAGCCGGGCGAGGTGGCGTGCGCCTGTAGTCCCAGCTACTCGGGAGGCTGAGGCAGGAGAATGGCGTGAACCTGGGAGGCGGGCTTGCAGTGAGCCGAGATCGCGCCACTGCACTCCGGCCTGGGTGACAGAGTAAGACTCCGTCTCAAAAAAAAAAGAAAAAAAAAGAAAAAAAAAAGGACATGGACATCTTTGGGACCATTATTCTATCTCCCACATGAGATTAAGGCGTGAACATCTTTGGTGTCTCAAGAGGTCAATCTGGTGTCAAGCTTCCATGTTTACGGAGTCATGGCTCAGTTGTATACGACGGAACCCACGGCTGACATTAAGGCAGGTTCTGACACTCTTCAAGGAAATTGCAGTGACTTTTATTCATTTCTCATAGCTTTTACTTTCTGTTAATAATTAGTGGATTTGGGGGAACAAAACAAGAAAGGATGGCTCCAGATTTTCATTTGATAACTTTCTTGTTTGCTCTTTTGTACTTTTTTCTTTTTTTTTTTTTTTGAGACGGAGTCATCTCTATTGCGCCCAGGCTGGAGTGCAGTGGTGCGATCTTGGCTCACTGCAAGCTCCACCTCCCGGGTTCACGCCATTCTCCTGCCTCAGCCTCCCGAGTAGCTGGGACTACGGGTGCCCGCCACCACGCCTGGCTAATTTTTTAAATTTTTACTAGAGATAGGTTTCACCATATTGTAGGATGGTCTCGATCTCCTGACCTCGCTGATCCACCTGCCCCGGCCTCCCAAAGTGCTGGGATTACAGGCGTGAGTCACCGCGCCTGGCCCTGCTCTTTTATGCTTTTTAAAAAATCTTAACTTTTGCAACAGCTATAAAAGGCAAGTGAAAAAAAAAAAAAAGAAAAAAAAAAAGGAAGAAAAAAAGAGTGAGTACATAAAACAACATGAATGAATTTTAAATACTTATGACTAAGTGAGAGAAGCCACGTTGAGATGGCTGCAGACTTCAGGTCATGCTGACACTTAAGACACTGTGGAAAAGACAAAATCATGGAAATAGTAAAAAAGATCAGGAGTTGGTAGGCGTTGGGCAGAAGGAGGGATGAATACATGGACCTCTGGGATTTTAGAGGCAGTGAAACTACTCTTGATGCTTCTTTGTGCAGAAAAGGAAGAAGAAGAAGAAGAAGAGGAAGAAGAGAGGAGGAGGGAGTAGGAGGAGAAGGAGGGGAGGAGAAGGAGGAGGAGGGAAAGAATGGGAGGAGAAGAGGGCAGGAGGGAGGAGAAGCAGGAGCAGGAGAAGCAGGAGGAGGCGGAGCAGGAGGAGGAGAAGGAGGAGGAGGAGAAGGAGCAGGAGGAGACGGAGCAGGAGGAGAAGGAGGAGGAGGAGAAGGAGCAGGAGGAGAAGAAGCAGGAGGAGGAGAAGGAGCAGGAGGAGAAGAAGCAGAGAGAAGAAGGAGAGGAGGAGAAGGAGCAGGAAGAGAAGAAGCAGGAGGAGACAAAGCAGGAGAAGAGGGAGGAGGAGGAGAAGGACCAGGAGGAGAAGAAGCAGGAGGAAAAGGAGGAGGAGTAGAAGGAGCAGGAGGAGAAGAAGCAGGAGAAGAGAGAAGGAGGAGGGGAGGAGAAGGAGCAGGAGGAGGAGAAGGAGCAGGAGGAGAAGGAGCAGGAGAAGAAGGAGGAGGAGGAGAAGAAGCAGGAGGAGAAGGAGCAGAAGAAGAAGGAGGAGGAGGAGGAGGAGCAGGAGGAGAAGAAGCAGGAGAAGAAGGAGGAGGAGTAGAAGGAGCAGAGGAGGAGGAAGGAGCGGGAGAAGGAGCAGGAGAAGAAGGGGAGGGAGGAGGAGAAGGAGCAGGAGGGAGGAGGAGAAGGAGCAGGAGGAGAAGGAGCAGGAGAAGAAGGAGGAGGAGGAGAAGGAGCAGGAAGGAGCAGAAGAAGAAGGAGGAGGAGGAGAAGGGCAGGAGGAGAAGAAGCAGGAGAAAAGGAGGAGGAGTAGAAGGAGCAGGAGGAGAAGAAGCAGGAGGAGAAGGAGCAGGAGGAGAAGGATCAGGAGAGAAGGAGGAGGAGGAGAAGGAGCAGGAGGAGAGAGAAGAAGCAGGAGGAGACAAAGCAGAAGAAGAAGGAGGAGGAGGAGAAGGAGCAGGAGGAGAAGAAGCAGGAGGAAAAGGAGGAGGAGGAGAAGGAGCAGGAGGAGGAGGAGCCCAGGAGGAAGAAGGAGCAGGAGGAGAGACAGGAGGAGAAGGAGGAGGAGGAGAAGGGAGAGAGAAGGAGGAGGAGAAAGGAACAGGAGGAGCAGGAGGAGGAGGAGGAGGAGGAGAATGAGAAGGAGGAGAAGGAGCAGGAGGAGGAGGAGGAGGAGGAGAAGGAACAGGAGGAGCAGGAGGAGGAGGAGGAGGAGAACGAGAAGGGAGGAAGAAGACGGGAGGAGGAGGAGGAGGAGGAGAAGGAGGAGGAGAAAAGAAGCTACTCCTGTATGATTCTACAAATGTTGGATCCATGTCATTATACTTTTATCCAAGCCCATAAGAACTAAAAGAAAAAAAAAAGGAGAAGGAGGAGGAAGAAGAAGAAAGAAGAGGAAGGAGAAAGAAAAGAAAAAAAGAAAGAAGAAGGAGGAGGAGGAAAGAGGAGGAGGAGGAGGAGCTACAGAAACTCAACCAATTGTCACCAGAAAATATTTAAATTCATTTATAACCTGGAAGCCCCCATTTTGAGATGTCCCCCCTTTATGGACCAAACTAATGTATTTCTTTCTTTCTTTTTTTTTTTCTTTACTCTGTCTCAGGCTGGAGTGCAGGCGGCACAGTCTCGGCTCACTGCGACCTCCGCCTCCCGGGTTCAAGTGATTCTCCTGCTTCAGCCTCCCGAGTAGCTGGGATTACAGGCGCCCACCATCATGCCCAGCTAATTCTGTATTTTTAGTAGAGATGAGGTTTGCCATGTTAGCCCAGGCTGGGCTCGGGCGGGCTCGGCTTCAGGTGATCACCAGCCTCAGCTTTCCCAAAGTGCTGGGATTACAGGCGTGAGCCACTGCAGTCTTTGTATCTTTAGTTCAAAGCGTCTCGGCCGGGTGCAATGGCTCACACCTGTCATCCCAGCACTCTGGGAGGCCGAGGCGGGCGGATCACGAGGTCAGGAGTTCGAGACCAACCTGGCCAACATGGTGAAACCCTGTCTCTACTAAAAATACAACAAACTAGCAGGCGTGGTGGCAGGTGCCTGTAATCCCAGCTACCCAGGAGGCTGAGGCAGGAGAATCGCTGGAACCTGGGAGGCGGGAGGTTATTGAGCGAGACCCTGCCACTGCCCTGCTGCCTGGGTGACAGAGTAAGATTGCAACTCAAAAATTAAAAAAAAAAAAAAAAACCAACAAAGCGATTGTGTCTCAGACAGTTTTCCTCTGCACCCAAGAGGAACACTCCTTGCTAAGGGAAGTAAAAGCATCGAGACCGCACCTGCTTCTTCTTCTCTGCCCCCGGCTCGCGTCTAGCCCACATGAGTTAGGCATGAGGCTGCACTCCCCAGTGGACTGCGGCGCCGCTTCTCGGAGCCTGCTCGGGGTGCACAACTATTTCTCGGCGCTGGGCGTTCTGTTGCGGTGGGGCCTGACCTTGAGATTCACGTACAATTCCCCAGATGGTGTTAACAGGTGTAGAACTCTTGTTCCGTGAGACTGGCCCCCTCTGCCGAGTCACTAAATGTTTGGGATATTGCGGAACTTCTCTTAGAGCAGCAGCTTCTACTACTAGTGGCTTGTTATTTTGGAAGGTCTTGCTCTGTCTTGGGCTGGTGTGCAATGGCACGATCTCGGCTCACTGCAACCTCCGCCTCCCAGGTTCAAGCGATTCTCCTGCCTCAGCCTCCCGAGTAGCTGGGATGACAGACACCCACTACCACCACACTCAGCTAGAAATTTTTGTATTTTTAGCAGTAGAGACGGGTTTCACCACGTTGGCCAGGCTAGTCTCAAACTTCTGATCTCAAGTGATCCTCCTGCCTCAGCCTCCCAAAGTGCTGGGATTACAGGCGTGAGCCACCACACCCCACCACCTGCTGCTTGTAGCTTTCTGAGAAGCAGCAGAGCGCCCCTCCCCCAAATAAGTCTGTGGGAGATAGTATATGCACGCAAATACATTTCACCTAATTATTATTTGACCTCCAGCCTGGGCGACAGAGTGAGACTCTG